AGGCCAGGTTGGCCTTGAACTCACAGAGATCCGCCTGCCTCTGCCTCCCAGTGCTGGGATTAAAGGCAAGCACCACCATGCCTGGTTTTGTTTTTTTTGTTTTTTAGAAAAACAAAACATGGCTGGGTGTGGTGGTGCACGCCTGTAGTCCCAGGACTTGGAGGCAGAGGCAGGCGGATCTCTGTGAGTTCAAGGCCTACCTGGTCTACGCAGTGAGTTCCAGGCCAGCTGGGGCTACAGGAAGACCCTGTCTCAAAAAGACCAAAAAAAAAAAAACCCCAAAAAATAAAAAACAAACTTGGTTTCTGGACTAGAGAAATGGCTCAGCAGTTCAAGAGCACTGGGTACTCTTGCAGAGGACTTGGGTTCGATTCCCAAGCACTCACAGAGCAGCTAACAACCATCTGTAACTCCAGTTTCAGGGGACCTGACACCCTTTTCTGACCTCTGCAGGCATTGCATGACTTGGGTGCACATACATACATGCAGGCGATACACTCTTACACATAAAAAAATAATAAATATTTTTTAAAAAAACATGGTTTCTGGGATCAAACTCAGGTCCTTAAGCTTGCACAGCATGCACTTTACTGATTGAGCTAGCTCCCAGTCCTAAACCTTTATTATTTATAGATTACTCCCCAGGTATTTTGTTACAGCAGTAGACATCATACTCAGACACCCAGGATGGGTAAGTGACTTAGCAGGTGGAGAACAGGCTTCCTTTGTGGGAGCAATAAACAACTGTCGGGGGAAGCCCCTGTTCAGATCTTCTCTGCTATGTGGTTGGTGAAGCCCAACTTACCAACTGGAGCTCCTGGCTTCCCAGCACTGACCATCTTTGCTCAGGCTGGGCTATTCTTTGCTTCTCAAAAGCTTGTATTCCTTCCCTCTCCAGGGTTCTGCTGGAGCTCTATCTCTCTCTAGCCTCCTTCTTTCTCTACTTTTATACCCATGTTTGTGGCCTAGAGTCAGCCTTCAAATGTCTGTAGAGTCCCAGTATGTTCCCCGAGTGCATCTGTGGGTGGGGTGGGGTCTGTGATAAGGGCCTGGGCCTGCCAGATCTCCCTCTATATTATTACAGTAACCTCCCAACTTTTCAGTGTTGCTTACTATAGTTGCTTCTCCCCTTTAACAAGATTGCATCTGGACAAACTCATCACAGACGGTAGCTATCATTAGCCATAGACATGTTTTCGTTTTATCTATCCAACCTCCAATGCACCACAGTTTAACAACACATCACACTGTAAAGTGTTGGTTGTCTTCCCCTGTGTTTATGGGGCTGACCAGGAGATGTGGCTCACTGTCTCCTCTGCCTAGCATCACAAGTTTGTAGTGTATATCACTAGCCAAAATTATAAGTATGGGTGGGTATGGTGGCATAAACCTGTTATCCCAGCACCTGGGAGGAGGTAGGAAGTAGGAGGATAGCCCAGAGTTTAAAGGCCGATCTTGGTTATGTAGTGAGTTCTAGGCCAGCCAGAACTACATAGGAAGATCACCATCTCAAAACAAAACAAAAATTTCTACCAAACCCATGTATGGCTTCTACTGAATGCTGATCATGTTCCCATCATCTTAAAACGAACTGCGAGTTGGGTCCCCGTTAAATCGGGATTGTAACCCGATACTTTAAAAAAGACCTTGCCCTGGTAGATCTAGAAAAGCTGTCCAACTCTCCACCAACCTCTTTATCCTTTAAAGAGTTCTGGCCCTCTTTGCCCTGTTTCTCCTTGATCAACCCCTCTGCTTGTACAGAAGGACGATGCCCATCTTGGCGGTCCAGTATGGCCAGTTAGTGGAAAACACAGCTGTTTATTCATCCACTCAGCAAGGATGCAGTAATTGCCTCTGCAGACTTCACAGCACCTGGCTTCCAGCATGTTCCTCAGCAAATCACTTAAACTCCCCAATCCTCATTTTCCCACCTGTGAAATGGGGATTAGAGCAATTCTCAGCCCACTCGGAGAAGGCACATACATGTATGTGGAAGCACTTTGCAGACT